AATAGACTGTCAGAAATCGGTGTGGATTCATTTCCAGGATTAATGCTTCATTCGCAATAGATTCTTTGCAAGATCAATACTCTGAAATATCAGAAGATTAAAGATGTATCAGATACCAAAAACACCAAACATTGTTTTAATTACTTAAATAGAAGAAAGCTGGATAATTTTTACTTGCCTATGAAGAATGTTCTGCTTAAGCCAAAACAAATTCTTTACCAGTTCTTTTAGAAAGTCTGGAAGTATTTAAGTTTCTCTCCTCTGCTTATGAGACAATGCCTGTTAGTGAGCCAGTGCTACATGGGATAATACCCTTCATTTGTAACAACCTGTCATTCAGCTGGTCAGTAAGCTAATTAAGTATGTTTGCTAATTGTTTCAGTAATACGGTTTATTAAGTTTGAGGTTTCTGACTCTTGTTTGTCATGGCTATAGAAAAAAAAAAAGCAACAATCCCAAGGTCTGTGCCTGTTGAATAGTTTACAGAAAGTTAAACAGTGTATCCATTCACTTCTGCTATTGTGGTATGTGAAATGCAGTCTTTTGAGCTGAATCCCAGAGTCATTAGCTATTAACTCAGGCAAAGCACCTATCGATTTCATAGTCAATCATGTGACACTCCTTTATTTATGCCTGTATTGTGGTTTTAACTAGCAGCTCGTGACAGGGATCCGTAGATGGGTCACGCAGGAGTGGGAGTCCCGGGAAGCATTGTGGTCCCTCAGCCAGAACCCTCTGCAGTTGCCCTGAGACCAATTGCCAGACTGGGCTCTCTACCCCACTTTACAGGGAGCTGAATAAATTCCTTCTACTGCGTTCGCAGAGGGATTTTGAGGATGTAATCCTTTCCCTTTCCCTGGCATTGGAAAACGCATGAAACCCTGGTGGCAATGCACAGCTCAAGTACTGTTAGCGCTCCAAGACTGTGGAGATGGGGCAGAGGCTGGAGTCTGGACAGAGGAACAAAGAGGTGATGTGGCTTGGGGTGGCCTTTGTGCACCAGCACAGGGTCAGCCAGAATTTCAGTCTACCAGTGGGAATATTCAGTACTTCCTTCAGTTATATAAAATATTGGCATAGAAGCCCAGGCACGCATGGGGAAAAATATGTGGATTTGAAACAATACTTTCAGTGTCTGTGAGTGCTTTACCCAGGAAGAACTTCATTTTATAGCAGTACCATGTGTGCCTCATACTGCTGCTACTGCTGAGCCTCTTTCAGCACAGTTGAGTTCTTTTATACCAATCCTTCATGACTTCTTTGCCTTCTGAACCAGTAAGAATTATCTCAAATCATAAGCTTGTGACAGAGGTATCATTCATGAAAATCTGTTCTCTTTTCCAGAAGCCCTCAGGAATACAGGCTAGATTAGTTTAAAATGTGTGTGGATGATGGATAGAAAAGTGTAAACCTAAGCTTAGGGAATGGCATCATCTTTGTGCATAGTGCAAGCTCTATGCTTATGTTTAGCTTCCCTGCTTATTTTGGGCTCACACTTATGTGTTGGAGTTATGTTGAATGGTGAGACAAGCTAAAAATAGTTATGGATTCCCCCAAGTGACTTTTCCAGTCACTTGTGACTCAGAAACTGGAACAGACTGTCTGAAGAGCTAATGAGTTCTTCTCAGTAGTGGGAAGTGGGTAAGACTTTTGAAGTGGATAGAAATTACCTAAAAGTTTTTGAGACCTCTAGAAACAGAGCTTCAGTTCATTGATGCTTAGGGTTTGTGAAAGGGAGGAGCATCTTAAGAAACTGTAGCGGGCTAAGAAACAGTTTGTGCAGTGCCATGAGTGTTGAAAGTATCTGAAGCACTATTAGATGTACCAGAGAAATCAGGGTTTATTAGCCATAGAAGAACTCTCTGTTTCTGCTTGGCTCAAGACTTCACAGAGCAGTCATTTTTTCTGATGCATAGCTCCAAAATTACACAGATCTTACACCACTAGGAGCCCCATGTGGCAGTTGCTTTTCCTCGCTGGCCAGTTTCTACAATGATCTGGACGTTAACCAAATTATCATTGATTCTTCAAGCTTTAATTCACCATAGAGGCAGTGGGAGCAGCAGCTTTAATCATTGCCAGTTTTTACTGACAGGACTACAAACCACAGTTGCCAGATGACTCAGACTTTGGCATGCATATTTTTGCTCATGGTTTTTATATGGAAATTTGAAAAAGTTATGACCACAGAGATCATGATTTTCAGTAGAGTGCAAATGCTGTAGCACCACACCTAAACTAGAAGTGGGCTTTAGTCCATCTTCTTCCTCCTTTTTTTCTTTCTTCTTCTTTGTTTTATACGCTTTTAATTCACTACTGTTAAATGATGCCTTTTCTGTTCTGGGGAAAAAGAAAAAAAGGGCCCGTTCACGATGGCATGTTGGCTCTCATGTTAGTGGAATCTTGTCTTGACACACACAAGCTGCTGGGATGTGTCCTTGAGGCTTGTGTCCTTGCAAAGGAACACTGGGTGTTGGGTAATGTGCCTTGCTGCCCGAATGCTCCATTTCTGAGATCATAAGGGGAGGTGCAGCACCAGCCTTGATTCCTCCCACTTCCTTTTCAGACAGAGGACAGTTGTAAAACTGAGGTACGAGGCAGGGGAGAACAGCTGAGTGCAAATTGGTTTAGCTGATTCTCAATAACAGCCGTCTTATGTGAGTGGCTTCTCTGTCCTTGAAGAAGCAGTCCCAGCTCTAGGAAAACAATTGAGCAGCTATAATTATAAAGTAAAACTGAGTAGCTGTGATTATTAAGTACAATGGTCCTTCCTAGACCATGCTCACATGGGATGCAGGTTGAGAAACCAGCATTGTGTAGAGACGTGACATGAATTATCTAAGGTTTTAGGGCAGCCACTTGGAGGAGTCATGAGTACTCTCCAGTTGAAAGATTTTTGAGCTTCGGGGAATTGCAGCAAGGTCTGTATATCATCTAGCTAGAGGCAGTTAAAAGAGATAGTTCCAGTTTTGAAAACAGCAAAGCTGCTGCAGCAGAGGGAGTTGTGCAAAATTCCCTGTTTGTGCATCTCGATGGCCTCTGTGAAGTGCCAGTAAAGAACTGCTTCAGGGAACAGAACTCACCGGACTCTGACTGATCAGGAATGGTCAATCTCGTACTAATCCTGCTGGTGCCCAAGCCAGAGGAGTGCAAGACAGCCTGAAAGACACATGTTTAGGTAGTGTAAGCCTGGGCCTGCATCTGAAAGGTGGGGCTTGCTTAGATGCTTTACTGTTTTAACACAGCCAAATACCATCCAGGCGAGGACTGTTTCTCACCCCTTGAAACATGGGAAAATTTGTCACAAGACCCTCTGCAGACGGTAGTGTGAAAACAGTCAGTCTCCTTTAACCTGTTTGGCCACTCTGTTCTTTATGCTGTTCATGTGTCACCCTAAAATGAGGCTCAAAGCACAAGTAGTGCTACCCCGTATAGGGGTGATGTGCAGAAGCACACTGTGACGTTGCTAAAAGTGCTAAAAGTTGTCCTGGTGCTAGAAGGTCCATTTCACAAGAGAGGCTGGCTTTCACTGGGACAGAGGATGCTCCCGGCTGCTCACACATCCTGTGACAGATGTCTAAGCTTCACATGCAGCAAATGCTGAGCGCTGCAGGTTGTACATTAGTTAGATGTTTAAATGGTAAACTGGTGCTGCTTTTAATTTGTTGCTGAGATATTTCAGGAGGCGCCTGGGGAGTATCTTGCCAGCCCTCCCCATTCAAAGAGCTATGCAGAGTAACTCTGTTCTTCAGAAACGTCATTGACTTGTGGGTGTCAGTACAATTATCAGCACACTGGGAAAATTTTGGGAAGGTTGGAGGAAGCTGTCAGTGCCTGTGCATTCAGCATGCATCCCCACTGCAGAATGACTGGGTGACCAGCCAAAGCGAAAGCAACCACAAGGCCACAGCCTGCACCGTAGGATGAGCCAGCTATCTTGAGCTGAAAGCTAAGCAGCAGTGAGCATGTGGGTCAGAGGTTTATATGCTGTGAGGAAGGAAAGTTAGATTAGGGAAGGTCTATTGACTCCATACTGAGGATTCACATTTCAGCACATTTGAATTGTTTGCAGCAATGCCTATTTATATCAGCATTTGCTTTGAAAGTATTACTAAGTGCAGCTGTTGTGCACTTCTTGTGCTTTGTGCACTTCCATTTTATACCTAATTGGCAGGCTTAGAGTATTTTTTTTAAATGTCTGCATCTCAGAAATACATTTAAGCTTTCTTTAACCACGTGAAATGGAAGAAAATTGCAAAAGTCAAGAACATAACTAGTACCTTGTAAGCATCTGAAAATTAGTATTCTTATTAATAAAAAGCATGAAAAGTATATTCTTGATCAGGGGGATAAAAAAGAATGTGACCTCAGAAGTTATTGCAAGATTAATTTAAATATTTGAGTGGGGAAAAAAGACACTTCTTTGGAATAACACAGACATCACTGACTTTGGCTTCAGTCATCTGTGTTACCTTTTTCATTATCTGGGCAGGAGAATCTGTCATCATAATTTGGCAATTTTTAGTAAGTGGTCATAAACAGTAAACATAAGATGGCAGAAAGTTGAGGCTTTTTAATAGGAAATAAGATTATAGAAATCATAGTCATACTTTTTGTCTTTCTGTAAGAGAATAATTAGAAAAGTATTGGAGATAATTTATACAGCTTTTGAAAAAGTGGACGAGCATGGTTTTATGAGGAAAAAGGTAGGGTATAGGTGCTAATGGCAAGTTACTACCTTGGAAATATACTCACTCATTCCTATGACATCCTATTTTCTCCTGTTTCTTTCTCCTTCTTTTCAAGTTGACAGAGGGGAAGAATGTCAACTAATTTACTCATGCCTGTGTAGAGAGCATCGGCACTATTTAAGTTCAGCTAAGAGCTTCAGTGATTCTTGAGCAAGAGGTTGACCCAAGATGACTGAAAAAGAACATTGTACTAGAAGTGAGCATCATATAGTATCACTAACCAGAGTATTCTTTACCTGACTATTCCAGTGTGGCAAAGCACTTCCTGGCCTTTCCAAGCAAGAAGACTGCTGTGGAACCGTGGGTACTTCCTGGGGTTTTAACAAATGCCAGAAATGTCCCAAGAAGCCATGTAAGTGCTATTTTGTTGTTATTCTCTGGATCAGTTTATGTTTTTGGTTTTTTTTTTCCCCTCAAGTAGTATTTTTCTTTTTTGGAAAAAAAAAAAAAAAGAGAACTTAGTAGAAAGAAAATGCTATGGTTTGATTAGGGACAGGTTGCAGAAACTGGAAATTTCCTGCATGCCAGCAGAGTTACAATATGCAGGCACTCAGTGCAGCCAGCAAAGTTAACGTCATTGGTTTTTTTTCCCCTTCCTCCTCCTTTAAGTCAGTGATGCACTGACAACTGATGTTGTGTTTTCTCAGGAAGGATAACGACATTGAATCATCTTGCCTCTTCCAGCTGGATTTATTTTTTTTAAAGTTTGCACAGAAAAGTTAAATTATAGAGGCGCCAGTTACTGCTTGGAGAGAATGCAGTGATCTCTTGGGACTGCAGATGAACTTTCAAGTTTGGAGCCAAAGTTTTCCGGCCTCTAAATTGTCAGTTACTTTTTTTTGCTCTGTTTTTGAAATATCTTCCTCAACAATTAGGCAATGACAAAGACTTTCTTCACTGTTTTGTTAAGATTTGACATCATATTATAATGAGAAAGAAATTTTAAATTATTTGCAAGATAGGTGAAGCTCATCTTTTAAACATTTTGTGAATTACATTATTGTTGCACAGGAATAATAATACTTACCTGTCATATTTTTATCCCCAAATGAAAGATGAAAAATGATACTGTAATATCTATTTTGCAGATGGAGTGGGCCTGCATATAGTGGGCCAAAAATAATGCAGGGAGTTGCAGTCATTCTTATCTAGGTCTTCTAGGCCCCTGTTATTTGTACAGATAGCAACTCCGGAAACGTGTTCAGTGTTTGATTTTTTGGGAAGCATATTTTTGTCCACAAATCTTAATGTGAATGTAAATACAATTCCAGCAGAAAACCTGCGTTTACTCCTACACCTCTGACTCCTCCTTCCACAGGAGAGTCTGATATCAATTTATGCTGACTCAATCTGATCTGCTAGTTTATGAAGCATTTAGATTTTGTGTTTATCTTCTGACGTGCTTCTGAAAGAGGGCCTCCTTGGGGTCTTTGAGGGCCATAGTTAATAAAAGACTGGTATCTAAGTTTTTATTCTTGTAGCACATAAATGCAGAGATACGCATTCTGTATTGGTGTATGAATTGTGAAATATGTCCTGATTCTATAACTTTCTCCAAAGAAGTAGCAATTTAACTACAGCTGAAAGTCTTGTTCATCAGAAGCATGTGGGCGTGTGGAATGTTGTTTAGTGGATGAAGGTGTGCCATGAGAAAAATCACAAAAGCCTGAAATGTGCTTCAACCAAAAACTAGTTGGAACTACTAATAAAAATTTTTGGTGCCTGGTTAAAAAGGAAGACCATTTGCTATTTCTTCATAGCTCAGGTAAAACACTGGTCATCTCTGCCTGCAATCCACAACAGACAACGTGTTGATCAGGCAGCTGCTTAATGCCAATATGCTTGGCATGATGTTAAGAGCAAGCAAACAGGGAAACACTGGGACAAACCATGTCTGAAAGCCTAGTCCCCAGATGCTTCCTAGGTGGATACAGAGAAGTGCCTGAACTCACCCTAAAACCTCTCCTGAAGGAAAGTCCACCACCCTTTTTTCAAAGCACTAAGTAAGAATAATTTTTTTGAAATGCTAATGAGGTGAGCACTGCCCTTTTATTATAAAAGCTTAATGGCTAGCACACTTGCTCAAGATGGTTCCTTTATCTGCCAGAAGAATTTCTAATCTACATTTTATACCTATGAGGAGATGCCCTAACCCCTAAAATGTAGAAACAATTCTTGGAACAGGATCTAGAAGCCAGTCTCTTTCCCAGTGTCCTTAATTACTTATGGTATGAGTCATGCTCACTCCAGCTTTCTGGCTCAATCTGGAATTGTTTTTTTAATGTAACCGTATGATTTCAAGAGGAGACAGAGAATGTTGCTGCTTGGAATCATCCTGTCCTTGTGATTAAAGCATTCCTGGAAAGTAAGGGTTTGTGTCTCCTAGACATAATGGGATACATTTCTCCTCTTTCTAGGTGGGAGCTCTCACTGTACGTTAGTGTTTTAAGAAGGGACGAGGAGGTGGATGCACTGTCTGTTTTCTCCAGATTAAAAAACAGTGTCATCTACCACTGCGTTATATCAAGAGTATGATTTGGTAGGTGTATGTTTCAAGAATATTCACTGAATCTGTTAGGAAGCTTTGGTAGTGGTATATGTATTTTCTTAGTCTAGATTTGATTTAGGAATGAGTTAAGCATGACGCTCTTCAATGATGTCATGACTTACAGCAATTCTGCAAGAGTGCAAATGGTGAATTTCCAGATTTCTAAGAACTTAAAGTGATAGATTCTGAGCATTGCAGGAGTTTAAGTGATCTTGCAGCATCTTAGGTTTTTATAGATGTTCAGTTTGAACTTCGGCACGCAACTTGAACTTTCAAATCTGTTTTGGATCTGGGCCTCAGTGTCCTTTGGGCATAGGTGTCAAATTAAGCCTCATGTCAGTATCAAACTGTTATGCTTCTGTAGAGCAAACAATTCCCAAAGATAAATATGGATTTATGCTAAGATTTAATGAAAGTGTGGAGTGGCTGCTTAAGGATTTATATTTCATCAAGTATATTTCTATTTTTATATTTTTAATATATACATTATATTGGATGGAAAAACTTGGGAGTCAAGTAAATTATTAATAAGTTATCAGCTAAGTGATGTCCATGGTAGTGTCTCAGCAGGGAAAGCTAGCCCCACATTAGTCCCATGTAATTTTGACTTGTTCTGATACTTTGCTAAATCGGTATTACCCTTTCTATTGTAGACTTTTTTGGAAGCAAACAGACTTCTTTTTGCATTTATGGTTTTGTGCTTCATAAACTTTAAGATTGACCTGGTTTTATAATAATATGTAATCAGGTTGCATTTAACATGATCTGCGAAACACACTTCAGCAAAATCTTTAAGCATATACTTCAGTTTCATTAGCAGGCACTTTTCTTCTCTCTTCAGTCAACTACTTAAGGATGTACATAAGTTTGCCTGTGTCTTGTTCCCATGAACCTAAACAGGGCTTTGCCACTTTGTAAAGATGTACTTGTGTATTTTGGGTAATAGCTACTACTCAGTCAGGGCTTCTGTCCCATTGCAAAGACAACAAGTGCCTTGGCCTGAGACAGCACCTATGTCTGTAAGTTTACAGGTTATTCAGTATTACTGGAAAACAAAAGAAGAAATCTTGGAACAGATTTCCATTTTTAAGGGTTTCTACAGAAGATGACTTAAGACAAAGTGCATTTCTGTGTTACATGGAGAATGTTATGATTGTTCAGGCTTCTTGCTAACAGTTAATAATTACAAACATGTTGGCTAAGTGAGTAAAGGGTAAGTAACGTAGGACTCCATCCAGCTCCCACATGGATCACTAGCCGTCACTGAACAAGCTCCTTACTCGACTGCGACCTGCTTATGTTGCTGCTCTTTGTAGAAGGAAGAAAACAGCTGCTAGTAAGCCACTGTTCCTGTTCAGTGTGGGAGTAGGAGGATGAGGTGGGAGGGAGAGGTTAAAATCTCTGACCTCACTCCACCACTGCACTTTCTAGAGCAGCTGAGTCGCTCTGGAAGGGAAAATGCGTTGCAGCACTGGAAAAGTCCTGGCATAGCTTATGGGCTGGTCTCCATTTACAACTGGAAGAGCTCTGCTCTTCCTCTGTTTTCCTCCACCAGGCTGTACTGCAGGGTACCATTCCTGCCCACAAAAAGTTAGAGAGACTCTCGGTTTTGGTGTGAATTGAATCAGGTCTGCAATGGCAAACAGGGACATAATCAAGTTAGGACACAATCAGTGCAGTTATGAATCTGACTCTGCCAACATGAGCATTAGGAGTTTCATCAACATTTTTGGGGACCAGGGATAGGCTAATTCATTGCACTTTTGAAAATCTTGCCTTAAATTTCAGCTGTTCTTAATATTAACATTGTGAAAAGATTAGTGCTGCTTGAAAATAAACGTATAGCTGCCACTTTTATGGTGAGAGGCAAAATTTTCAAATTTTAATTTGTGTTAAAATGGTTGTAGTCAATGTAAAGGTGGAAAAGTATGTGTTCAAAACTGCAAGAACATTGGAGTTTTATTTTGACCTGAACTATTTTTGTGTTTAACCATTTTATCTCTTTAAGCAATCTCTAAGGAGAGTCTTAATGTCCCGGTTAAGCAGTTATCTTAAATAATTCACAGCAACTTGAAATAAAACTATCTGACTCCAAAAGCTGCTACTTAAGATCATAACTTAAATTTTTCCAAAGAATAGGAAAAGCTTTAGAACTAATGAAAATAATTCTTTTTTTTTTTTTTTTTGTTTGGGTTTTTTTTCCCCCCACCCTTATAGTCAACCAGTTACCAGTTTTAAAATAAGCTGCAGGGATAAATACACAATTCAAGCATTGTATGTGAAGTGAAGCCAACTGAAAACATTATCTCACTCTGTTGTTCTGTCTTATTTGACAGCTTATATACAGTAAAGATGGAAAGTAATGCATTTGATTTTTTCCCCTCTGCTGAACATTTAGAACACTTCTAAAAGAAAACAAAAGATCTGACCAAATGTAAGGTATCTCTGTTGTAGCATTCAAATTATGAAAAACTCTCCTGACTCTTATTAAAGGCACTTGTGTGATCATAGTGCCAAAAGTTTAGTCCTACATGTTTAATAAAGTACGGGGCTTTGCCAAGAGGTTAGCTTTTAGTGCATAACCATACAAAGAAGTTACTGCTCTCGTTTATGATGTTATAACAGTTTAAGAATCAATAAACAGTTTTCTGTAGTCTCAAAGGCAACCTTAAGTGGAGGAAAGAAACAATAAACAGAAATAAAAATCTAGTTAATTGAACACTTTCTATTTTGGGAAAATTGAATTCAGTCTGTATTTTGCAGTGTTGTTATGCCCTTGAGAGTTTACACTGATCAGCCAGTAAGTCACACAGACTTCTAAAATTCAGCAACTTTGTTAGGTAAATCACAAATGTGCCCTTTTCTTCTTTTTGCCTTACTTTAAAAGTTAATTTGCTTCTATTTCCTATTTCTTTCAAATATCGTTTAATTCATTGTGGCGGGAGAAATGGTACCCAACAATTTTACTTAACACTGAAGGTACTTCTGGTTTCTAAAGCTGCTTTCAGTTTTAAAACCATTGAGTTTCCATCATGAATCTTCACCTTTATCTTTTCCCAACATGATATTTGTAGCTGATTTGGAGAAGTAATTATTTGAATCTTTGAGAACAAGTAGGATGAAAGATAATGTCCTGATTTCAAAGATTTCTTTTTTGGAAAAACTATAAATTTGACTGGATAACTGAAGACTTAAGTGGTATGCATGTGGAAAAAGATGGAATTAAGATTACCTGTACAACCTTTAGTTTTAATTTTTTGACCTTTTATGCTTAACCAGACATCATAAAAACTTATAATTATTTTTTTATATAATAATTTGGCTGTCAGATTCTCTAAATAAGCATATAAATCAGCAGTATTTAACTGATGTAATTTTTTTCTTCAGCTTACCATGGATACAGTCCCATGATGGAATGCCCACAAGGCTACAAGAGGATCAATGCTACATTTTGTCAAGGTACAATAGCAGCCACAATTGGTTGTGTTTATTTTGCATACCAATTTTCTGTGACAGATTCTTTGATATTTATGACTTAGATGAATGGATCCAGTCCATTAATTTGTATTTGGGAGAAAATGTTGAGGCTACTTTTAACTCTTTCCAAATATTGGCAAGTCCATAGACTGGTGGGGGGTTTTTGCTCGAAGGGAAAAATCTTTTAAACGTTTTATGTATACTCGCATTTTCTTTGATGATGTATGAAGATGACTTCATAAGGATTCATTTACTTTGTTTTTCAGTAGAAACACATTGTTCTGTCAGTTCTTTTGCTAAACAGTGAACCTACAGACTTACTCAGTTAAGTCAGATGAAACTAGCAATAAAGGATAATTTCTTATAATCATGAAAGTATAGAGTAATCAGAGAACAATTCTTTCAGATTTAAGAGGTTAGACACAACAGTACTGTGAACAGCCAGATAATGTCACTGGCAAGTGGAAATGAAAATCCATTCGTACCTGGCTGCTACGTAAATAGGTGACCCACATACTTCAAGAATATACATTGTGCAGGTGAGGATGTATGGAGCTAGACTGCATAAGTTGTGTTACTCTAAGATTATGCCCTATATCTCCTGGCTGTAAGCACAGAAGTTATCAAAACATACAGGTTGTGGGATCTGCATGATACCGTGTAGCTACACAGAAAGGCTTGGGGCATTTAGAGTCTCCCGGCCTATGGCATCTCTACCTGACAAAGCTGAACAGATGACTGCAAACATATGCTCCTTCTTTCTGTGTGTCTTGGAAACAGATACAGAACAGAGGTGCCAGATAAGGATGTACGAAAAAACTTAATTGCTGGTCCGACTTGTTTGGCACAGCTCAAGTAAACAAGAGAAAGGAGCTCTGAGAATATATGAGCAATCCTGCAGTGGTGCTCGAGAGAGAGATTGGGAAGGAAGGGAGGAATGAGTTCAAGTGAGGCTGACACTGACCTGTGGTCAGGTTTGTTAGTCATTGTTGACGCTGCAAGGGTAAAAGAGCCCCCAACAAATGGTGGTGGTGGAGAGAAGGAGAAAATGAGTAATTGGCATTAAATGATGTATGTAGGCACTACGGAGAAAGTTAATTTTGACTGAAGACTTTCAGTTAACATGTTGATGAAGGAATGTGCAGCAGCCCAGCTACATAGAGAAATGATTTTGCCAAGCAAAAAAATATGGTTTGTAGAGCACTAAACACAAATATCTCGCTGCTTCCACTGCTGAGGAGATGTGAGCGGCTGTCTGAAAGTATAGGCACTTGAGCCTAGCTGCTGCTCAGTTCTCTACCTAGTGGTTTACCACCTTGCAGGGTAGGGGCATTTGGAGGATTGTGAGAGAAAATTGAGTTGAGTCTAAAGAGTAAAAAACTAAATGGAGGAGAGCTGCAAATTGCATCTCGAGTTTGTTGCCTGCTCTGTAGTGAAAGATTGTAAAGTCCTTAATAAGTAAAAAGGATGGGGAGATGTTGATGACAACTTACTGATGAAGACTGCAAAGTCAAAAGGTGAAGGAGGTGAGCGTAGGTGGGCCACCTTTTCACAACTCAAATTAAAGAAGCAGGTGGTGCATATATTTCAGCAAGATGCTTCCAGCCATTTCAGAAGATATTGTCTCATTCCGCATGTTAGTTATGAGGATTTTCAGTCTGCAAAATGGAGGATTTCTAACTTTGAGCACAGAAAGGGTCTGGAAGATGCCACGATGCATTAGTACCATCATGCATCCCTCTGAGCATAGTCCAGGAGACACAGAAGCTTTTGATACCTCCAGCAGTTGTGCACAAACCCCACTGTATACACAAGAGTTTCCTAGACAACAGCAACCCAGCAGGCATTTAAAGGTGAGCAGGGCATTCAGTTTGTTTGAAGGGATTGTGCCTAGGTGTTGGCAAACCTTATTTCATGGAAACTAAGACCCTTAACCAGAGGCTACAGACAGTTAAAAAATGGTCTGATGGTCTGGTGCTTGTGAAGGTTACCTGAGGTAGACCAGCAAGTCGTTTCACTGAGCAGTGACAGGCTGATACAGAGGGAGAACATACGTCTCTGGGTAGGAGCGTAAGAGGGAGCAAAGTCCTGTCATGGTGGTGTGCAGAAATAGATCTGTACCTGGTAGGCTAGTCATTGTTTGTTGTACTGGGTTTTGATAGTTTTTCCCGTCACATTTTTTAACTACATAAGTCATACCACAAGAAATATGAGGCTTTAAATAGTTTGTTTTATTACTGCTATCATTATCCCAGAAGAGAGAGCTGTAGACTCTAAATATAACTTGTAGTTGATACATGGAAACTTATAACCTAGAGTTTAATCAGACAGTAGGGGTCAGATTATCCTGCTATGAAGTAGACTGTTGATGAACTGAGGATGGGGAAAATCTCTTAACTTTTTGGAGAGGACAGAGTTGGTGACTGCTACAGGTTCCCTATATTGCCTTATCAAGGCTTGGGTGGCTTCTCTGTAATTTACTCACCAACAGACACCAAAAAAGGAGGCGCAGGTAAGGAAGGAACTGGGAGAAGTAATAACCATGAAACAAAGCCAGGATGAAATTTACACCTATTGAAGTAAATAACAAGATTACCATTTTCTTCAGGGGGTCAGGATTTTGACGTCTCTTTGAACAGTCATCAGGAAAGCTAGCTTCATATGTGAAAGCTGCTGTCAGGATGTATTTCAGTCCTGAAATTGTCATTAGCATTGGCTTCTAAATGAGTCAGGCAAAAGTGTCCTGCTTGTGTTTATCTGAAGCAGGCATGTTTTTCTAGAAGAGAAGAGGACAGGGCTAATGAAGAAACAGCTGTCCATATCACAAACATGGAGCAAAGTAACAGCAATAACTGTGAAGAGAAAACTGTTTAAGCTGCTGGCGGGGAAGTATTTGTATTCTTGTAATAATCCTTAACAATTAAATTGGAAGGGATTGGCACAGCATGTCCATATGCAAGTATACATTTTAATTAGATTATCTTTGCTGAAAGGGTGTGCACGCTGTGTCCATGCTCAGGAAGGGCCAGCATTGCCAGACCAAATAGTAATGGAGATATATTTCTGAATCCCTGCCTGCAGCTAAGAGATTGCTGTTTTCATCTAGATATTGTCCAACTTTCACTGCCTTTGAAAACTCATGCCTAAAAGCCTAATTAACCTTTTGTTCTACATTATTTCTGCAGTCAAAAGCATCTTTAGTTTATGAAGCCTATGTAGTATTAGTGTGATTAATAGTCAGATCCTGATTTTTTTCCTTTCAAGTGGGTTGAACTAGTGTAACAAAACATTCTTCTCTCTAATGTCTATGTAGGACAACAGAGAACCGTCTGTGAGTATGCTAATTCAAACAGTTTACTGTAATTGCTATCAAGAAAGCTTTTGCCCCCCCTTGGTAATTATCTTTATGATGGGATGATTTATTACACGTACACCCATAGGTGCCCTAAGGCTGTCACTAAAGCCAAAATACAACTTATCAGAGTTGCAACTTCTTTGTCAGAATCCAGATGCAACGCTAATTTCTGGTTCCCTGTTTAGAATTATACTTACTGTTTCCTTCTGCTAATAGTTTTCTTGGAAAACTGAAACAGAATGAAAAAAACAGCTGGTGAAAAGGTTGGATTCATTTTTCAGGAAACTAACATATTGCCAATAGAGCACTTTAAAAATCTTATCTTGAAGAACTGGAAAAATACCTGAACACTTGTTGTTTTTCAATGAAGTAAAAAGTTGTGCATGGAAGTTCTTGAAAAGTCCCCATATGCTTAAAATTAAATGTATATGAGCTTGCAGAAACTAGTACTTGTATGTTGATGGATCAAATTCTGTAATCATGTGCTCTGGGGACTGGAAGCTTTTTTCCCTTGGCTTCATCATGATTTAAAATAAAGTTTGAAGGTATATTCTGCCCTCCTACATTTGTCCCTAAAATACAGTAATAAATTTGTTTTCTCTGCATGTTGTATATATATTTTATTACCTTTAAGTACTAAAAGAGCTTAGCTTCATAAGAAATGCTATTTAATGTTACTTAGCTACTATGTTAACAACCGTCTTTCAAAGAAGCTTTTTTTATGATGATCATACTGAGAAATAAATATATCTCCAGAAACTGGGCTGGGTTGCTATTTGGACATTGATTATGTGTTTGAAAAGTGTGGCTCTGCAAACTTGTATTCCAGTAAATTCCACGCAGAAGCACAAAACGAGTTGGATTGTTTTCTCTTGCTGCTACTCTGTTAGCTCACACAAATCAGTGGGTAGTTTCTTAGAATAAGCAACAGGGTTTTTTGATAATTTTTAAAAATACGTATTGCAATAGTTTCATTAGCAACCAAACTCTTGTTGTTCTCACTAATGCGGTTGTTATTGAAACAATCAAGTATAATGAAGGCAGTAAAATCTGGATATTATATTTTCCTTGAAACTGAGGGTAATAACAGTGGTTAATAATACAACTATAGCAGAAACAGTTGGAACAGTATTTTCAGTGGTGTTAGTAGGTACAGTTGTAATTGATTTTCATAAAGAGAATAAAAAATTATGCCTGCATATTGAGCCAATTTGCATATCATTCAGTCAGATGGCACTCCCAGTGAAGCGTAGCATGTACCTACCAGAATGAGTTGAATTTTCACAAATGAGATATTAATTATATATTCCAGTCGTAATGTGCAACATGAGATATTGTGCATATTAAAGCACTTACTGCATGAAAACATCTGTCAAGGCAGATATTACTAAATAATATTTAATGGCTGACTACTAGGTCATTTCTAATTAAGAAGTTGCCCAGTACTTTGGCAAGTTCTAATTAGTATATAATTGATCTAGAATGTTTGCTTTGCCTAAATGCAGCAAAGTGTCTTAAATGTGTGAGGTTCTTCTTGAAAGGCAAGTTGCTCGCTTTGCATAAAAAGGAGGTCAACATTTTCTGTTCATTTTTATTACTTAGTCATTTAAACAAAGTCAGTCAGTTT